AGGGTTTCAAGAGTAAAAGAGAGAGCGTTTTTCAGAAGTCAGGCAGTCCATCCACTGAGAGATCAATCGTCCAGCCAAGTGTGATATTTAGGTTAGAAGCTTCTAGCACTTCATCCAACGATCATCCTAGTGCCACGTGTTGCAATCCAGTTTAAACCATCCTTTGAAGAAAGTTGTCAAAACACAAAACACGATTTTTCCTTTTTAATTTGAAGGCACAATTTTAACCAGGTCCAAGGTTTGAAACTCAACAAGCTACAGCAACAACAAACCGTTCATGGAGGTCAGCCGTCCACTAGAGGCGGGTTTTTTGGTTGGAGTTGAGGACCAAACATGGGTCTCCACCGCCCCTATGGCCATAACCACCGTCCTTTGTCCCCTGAATGTTTTCTTGAATCAATCTTGAAAACATGGACATTGGGTCTTCAATGCAAAAAGACAAACTTTTTTTACAGAAATCTCAGTTTCTTTTTCAACTGCTTAGTTATCAAATGAACAATAAAGGAGCTATCTTTTTCATTGTAAAATCTTTTAATATTTGTTGCAGAAGCTAATAAGTAGAGAAAAGGGAATGGAATATTGTCAGCTGTTTTGTTTCTGATACCGTTCTCTCCTGTCCTATTCACTCATATTTGAAATAAATTCGTCACGGATCCTTATCGAGTTATTTGTCTCAATTTCAACATAACGGGTAAGGATTGTCCCATTTTGTCACAAGGGTTGTGACGGATGCATAGACAGAAGTGTATGTGAAATTATGTAACTTATTTGACAGCGTAGCATGATTGGGGCAGGTAATTGGAGAAAACCGTACAGAAGTGATTAAAGAAGGGGTGAGCAAGACAAGCATGCTATACGAACAGACTCTATGACAAGTTAAAAATTGAGGGAACACGTGGTAACATATGATTGGACAGATAAAAAAAAAAAAAAAAACTCAATTATTATCTGCCACACCACCCTGGCACCTCTATCCCTGTCATTGAGTCTGTCCAAAGAGCGTTATTCAGTGAAAGATTATTTTTCTACGTTAATATTAATAATTTTTACTTTAAGAGTAAATTAAGAATATTCCCATACTATTTATTTGTTGTCCATATTTTTTTAATTACAATTAAGGGTTTTAATCTTTGTTTGTTGTATTACATACGTCCCTAATACTTTTTCGTTGCAGTTTTATCATCAACTTTTCATTAATTAGCATATCTCGTCTCTCATAATAGTATACGTCAAAAAAATTCTTTGTAGGGCGTAAAATGATTTATTTTTTTCATATTTTTAAAAAATAATATATACAAAAGTGCAGCAAAATTTTTTTCCTTTGTTTCAAACTACGCAAATAATTTTTTTGAAAATCATCATCAATGACAAGACGTAATATTTAAAGTAAGGTTGTAGACAACAAATTAAGGACATAAGTGCTATGATGAAAAATGTTGAAAGATCTTAATTGCAATTAAAATATAGTATAAGAATAAAAATATGGTGCCAATATAAT